CTCTAAACAGCTATTGTAAAAAAGACAAAAACAGTATTGCATAAAGACAAAGAGGTCTTAGAACCCTCATACATTACTGGAAGAAAACGTAAATACTGCCCCAACTTTCGAAAAATAGTTCAGCAATTCTTAAAAATGAAGTGGGGAAGGACAGAGAATGACTACTACAGAGTAAGAGATTATACATAGGGTGGAGAAAATGTTCTAAATTTGAATATAATCGTGGTTACACATTGACTTTAAATGGATGGATTATGAGGTATGTGACTGATAGGGTAATATGGCTATTAAACGGCTGTGCATCCTCCCAGTATTTTCATCTTTCTCTTTACTATCCTTTACGCCTAAATTAATGGCATCTGTGAAGGAGGGAAAGTACTTTTTAAAGGCTTCCCTGCCAGTGATTTTTACAATTACCCAAAGGTCTACAGAAAAACTTGTATTGTTTCTATTTTTTACAAAAAAATATTTTGTACTGTTTATTCTAATTACGATTGTGTAATTGCTTTGGTTTAAATTTCTGTAAATAGCTAGAATCTTTTGGGAAGGACCACTTCCTTTTGCTTAACTAAAATATGAAAGTATTAAGAAGAGAAAACTCTTCTTTGTGCCAGTCAGGAAGTGCTAATTTACTTAGTCTAAACAGTGTATCTTGTGGTTTATGACAGCCATAAACTATCATGTCCTGTTAATAATCTGCTATTATTATGAGCATTGATAGACTGAAGATGTGATTCTCAAGTGGACTTAAATATTTGGGAGCGTGATTCCAGGAACATTGTATTCTACTCAACATAAATTTCTGCTGTTTCAGTCCTTCAGACAGTAAAAGCTATTTTGAAAAAACAGTATGATTTCAGAATATAGGCATAACCTGAACAACTGCTACTCTAGGTTCTTTATTTCCTTTTATTTTTTAAGAGTATTAGTCATTTAGAAGTAGGATTTTAGAGTTTCTGCAATACTCTCAGGTCATGAAGTCATTTCCTGAAGAGAATTTATTTCAGATTGAGAAACTGCTGACACCTTGCTGATAAGTTATGGAGTCTAATTTTGGGACACTGAGAGAGCCTCAGCATGTTTCCCTTAGCCAAGAGACATTCTCAGTGCCTCTTCCAATATGCCACACATGTCAAAGTAGTCTCCAGTTGTGTAATCTAGAAGTAGCCATTGATAAGTAAGCCCTTTTAGGTGTTTGTGAGAAAGGAGGAGGCTGTTGCCTTAAAGTTCCCAGTTCCTAGCAGCATCTGTGTGCTTTTGTAGCAGATTTATGTTTTCCGGAAAATGAAAACAGAAAAGCCAGAACTGTTAAAGAGGAAACTACTTGATGTCTTTGTCAGCAGGATAAAAGTTTACATCTTTTAGACTATTTATGGCTTCCAACATTAAGGAGATTGCCAGGCTAGATTCTCCCTTCACCCTGTTCTTTGACCTTTCTGGGTCTCTGTGTGTTTATAAACAATTGGATTGAGGAAGCCCTTAAAACTTTTTGTAAGCACACTCAAGTTGGTGTTGTTCTATGAGGAGAATTTCATTAGTAATACAACACTTATAATACTTCATTAAATGATTAATGAAAATACTTTTTAAAGTACTTTTTGGCCGCTGATCTACATGTTGAGCTCCAAGTCAGCCAAAGTTACATAGTGAGACCGTATGTCAAAACCTTTTTTTTTTCAAAGCAGAGATCAGTTTTGCATATGACTATTGTTTGAGTACAGTCATTTATGGAAGAAATACAGATTTTTTTTTGAGATTTCAATTTAGGGAAGAATTATAACAAGAACCAGCTATTCTCAAGGCTCCCCAGGCTATCAAGTAAGTCCAGCCTTTCTCCTCTCCATTTTTGTTAAGTAAAATGTTTCTGGCTGTTTCTTTTAGAAAATATGTTAGTCTTTCCCAAAGATGGCTACATTTCCTTGGCAATCACACTCTTGGTGCTTCATCCTCTGTATTTTACTCTTTAGAAACAGAAAAGACACATAGAGAAGATTTGTAATTTTCTCCTGTGAGAGTTCTCTTTATTTTATTAGAAAAGTTTAAAATGTATCTAAAACAAAACTATCTCCATGTTCCATCAACTATATACGAGTGAGGAAAACAATTTATGAAGAGTTTGGGAGAGGAAATTACCCTTATACTATTTCCTAGCTGCTGTCACTAGACTTTAGTTTCCTTATTTATAAAATGGAAATATTAGTAGTCCTTGCCCCCACAGAGCTGGTGCAAGCATTACATGAGATAATGCATATAAAGAGTTTCAGCTGCTGCCAGGCATGGAGAAAGTTCAATAAATGTTTGATGATGGTCATGACAGTGATAAAGGATTTGGAGTCTCAAAAAGTTGTATTGTAGCATTTCAACATAGTATTTTCTGATAGGAAATCAGATCACATAATCAACCAAGGTTATTTGAATTTGCTAGTGGAAAGGAAATTTGCTTCTTTGTCATTTAATGGATGCCATGTTTTCTTATTCAGTTGTGGGGGTGGGGAGAGTATGCACATACTGTCATGCCTTGTGCCTCTGCCTTGGTAATCAGGATTTTTTCTTGAACCTTTTTGAAAGTCTGGCACAACTTTTGATAATATGCAGTGCTTGCAGTTGACTTTCTACAGATATTTATTAATAAAAAATCAAGTTTTCCTGAGAAATTCTACTAGCAGGAAAGATTTGTGCTTTATGAATATTGAGACATCATTTATTTTTAACCATAATTGCCCCTTGGTATTTGCAGAGGATAGATTTCAACACTTCCTATGAAAACCAAGATCTGGGAATGCCTAAGTGCTTAAATAAAGTGGAATGTTATTTGCATATATTCTTTTTTTTTTTACTTTTTTTTATTGAGAAATGGAGAAAAAAAAAGAAAAAAAACAAGTTTCCACCTCCTCCCAGCCTCCAATTTCCCTCCCCCTCCTCCCCCCCTACGCCCCCTCCTCTCACCCTCTCCCCCTCCCCCCACTCCTTTCCCCCTCCCTCTCCAGTCCAAAGAGCAGTCAGGGTTTTCTGCCCTGTGGTGCATATATTCTATTCATATTTTCCTGTTTACTTCAAATCATCTTTAGATTGGTTATAATACCTAGCATATGTAAATTCCAGCTAAATAATTGCTATAATTTTTGTTGAGGTAATAATAACAGGAAAATGTCTGTGCATGTTAAGTATAGATAGTTTTTTAATGCTTTCTATCTGCAATTCGTTTAATCTGCAGATGAAGAAACCGAGGAACCACTAAATGAACTAAATTTTCAGATAGTACCTTATAAATGATCTAGTCTGTCTCTCTTTTTCTAAGAGTTCACCCTCTATTTACCCTTGTTTTTGCTTAGCATAGTATGTGTCACACAATAAAGTAAATGGTTTCTAGATATCATGCTGTCTTCACATTAGAAATCTTAGTACTGAGTCACACAAACTGATTTGAGGTTACAAAGGGAGTTTATGAGGCCGGAACATCACACTTCAGAATCTACAGAAAGCAGGAAAACTTTGACAAGTTAGGAACAAGAATCATGGTCTTTACAACAGAAAGTATCTGTTTGGCATGCTGTCTTAGGGAAGAGAATCCACTTTCTTCTGTACTTGGCTATGATGAACTAACTACAGGGTCAAGTCTTTGAACAGTGATTAACCAAGGTCAGATCACAAACTCATAGCTGGGCTAGATCAGGACTTGGGAAGAATCTAGCCTCTACCTATTTTAATGGCAGCTGGCACCATACTCCTTACTTAATAACTACAAAGAAGACTGGCAGTTTCCCAAAAGGAAACCAGGGTACATCTAGAAAAGAAAGATGGCTGTTGAACAACCCAAACTGGTAAATGCTTGTGATTCCACACTGCTAATAATCTGGCTCTTTACATCAGACATAGTAGCCTAGCCAGCCTTCATTTATCCTGTGAAAACCTTTAAGACTTGGTCTGAAATGCGACTTGTATGTGTCTAAAGATGGTCTTCCATTTATTTGTTCTATCACTCATATTAATAAGACTATTATGGTTTTAGCATTTACACTAATATAATTTTATCTTTATATACTTATTTGTCCCAATAAGTAAAAAAGAGTCAAGGCTATAATTTCCTATAAATTTAAACACTTAATACAACATTGGGAGAAATTTTAGGAATCTTATTAAAATTAGGATTATTTAGGTAAAATATATTAACATCAAAAGAAATGTCTTTGATGTGGTAGAAGATCCTGTTGCTTGAAAATGTTTTAGGTTAGGGTTGGTGGGTTTTGTACCGGCATGAGAACCTGAAATCAGTTCTTAAGCACCCTGGTAAAAAACAGTCAGACACAGTGGTGACTAAGATTCTAGGCTAGGGAAGCAGAAGCAGACAGATCCTAGAGACATAATTACCAACTAAGCCAGCTAGTCTTGGTCAAACTAGTGATCTGCAAGTTCAATAACAGACCCTTCCTTAAGAAAATAAGATGGAGAACAATCACAGAAGATACCCAAAGTTGACCTGATCTTCATGTGTATGTACACAGGCAAGTCTGCCAGCACAAACTTGTGGACACATATTTGTGGACACATATACATACACCATACTTTATGTATCCTCTCTCCTTCCCTCTCCCACTCTGTCTCTGTCTGTCTCTTTTTCTCTCTCACTCTCTCTCTCATACACACACACACACACACACACACACACACAGAGAGAGAGAGAGAGAGAATGATTTATATTTTTTAAAATTTTTAAATTTACTTATTTTTTGTAGTCTTGCAGATGGACCCCAAGACATTATATATGCTAAATAAAAACTTTACCATTTAATAATATGCACAGTCCTTTTATTCCTTCTTATTTTTAATACAGAATCTCACTAAATTGCCCAGACTGGCAATTTGGAATCCTTCAACTTCCTGAGCTTGTGGGATTATAGAACCGCATCTCAGGCCAACCTGGTTCTGGTGGTTTTAGGATGCCAAGTACCTTAAAAGTATTAATTCATTTTAAGTTGATTCCCTTTGCTGTTATGTTCCAGGGGAAAACTTACCCATTTCGTGGTGCGTTTCCACCTGTGTGGAATCCCTTGGCATATTTGGATTATAACAATCTGTGGAGGACAATGGATGAAATGGGAAAAGAGGTAAAATGTGTGTTTGGTTTTCATGTATCATATTGCTGAAGAGTAAAACTGATTAATATCTTTGTAAGGTACAGTAGACATTGCTGATTTCCAGTGATGTATGCCCTTCTAGTATAATCAGCAACTCTGCAAAACCTGGAAGGATTTCCACTTGACAGATGGAGAAAATGAATACCAAGTGTTTATATAATTTACTCAAAACTATGAAGCAAGGGAACCAGAATTCAAAGCCACTCTTGCTTATACTACTGCCTGGGTAGCTTCACTTCTATGCCTCTGAGCATATATATGACATTTCTACTAAATATCTACTTGCAGTTATGTATCTACAATGCTACTTTAAATAGTAAATGAGAGAAGAACTTTCTGCATCAAAGTTTATTGGGGGGCTAAAAATGGATGTGGTCTTCCAATAATAATATAGATATTAATAATGACCACAATTATCCAAATTATAAGTAAATTTATACATGCTGTAGTTATGAATGCTGTTATTACTATTGTTTGACAATAGCATTAAGGCATGAATTCCAGATTTATCTCACCTCTCTATGCACTTTCAAGCCAACTGTAAACACCAAGAAACAAGTTTTTAGAGGTTAACATGAAGGCTTCTCTGGAGAGTAGTAGAGCAATGGTGACAGTTTCCTTCACTCATGAGTGTATGACCTTTCATTGCAGATCCCTGTTGATGCACCATGGCAAGCAAGACATGCTGAGGAATGGGACAAGATGACCATGAAAGATCTCATTGATAAAATCTGCTGGACAAAGTATATGTGACTACTTAAAATCATCTTTTAAAAAATCTTTCCCTCTGATCTTTTGTATCCTGTCTTGAATAGTAGTGCTGTTAAGTAATGGGAAAGATAAGAAATATAATAATTTAAGATTATTAATCCAAATATATTAATCTAAATATAAAAATATAATGATAATAACAAAGTCAGAAGGTTTGAGCAGGAAATAAATAAAAGAAAAGGTAGATGTTGAGAAAACATGTATGTTACTGGTAGATCTTCTAGGAAAGGACAAGGTCAGAACATAAAAAGTGATTGCTATGGAAGGATAGTGTCTTCCTGAAATAGTCCAAAGTAGCTATGGGGGATAAATGATCAAAAATGGAGAAGGATAGTATTATCTTGGGATGATGTATATGGGCTTGAATACTCAGAGGAGTATAAATATAACCAAGATGGTGTCTTCTAGGTATAATTCATAGGGAGAGACAAGATATGTGGTTTGTATGATTGTCCACTGCCATGAATGATGAGCAAAAAGTGTCCTACTCCTTAGGATTTTGTGAAGGAAAGAGTATATTTCAGAAATGACTTAGGGTAATGTGGATACAAGAATGGTAGCAGTGGTGGTGGTGGTTTTGGTGGTGGTGGTGTGTATGTGTTTATGATTTCTTATAGGAATGACCAGAATAGTGAGTGAATCTTAATGAGTAGGGCATATACCCAAGGAATGAGTAATAGAGACTGTGGAAAGACAAGGGAGAATAGATTAGGTGGAAATGGTAAGACCCATGAAGGAGAAATAGAGTTTGACACTGTTGGGATGGTGTCTTCCCAAAATGATCTGCAAGGCTGGAATGTATTGGGTGTTTTTGTTGGTTGGTTTGCTTCTTTTGGGTGGGATATATTTCAGAAACTGTCTGTACAGACAGGGAAAGACAAGAATGACAGATATGATTACTAGAGGGATTTTTCCTGGAAGAAACTACTGCTTGCATAAAGGTAGAAAGCACGGAAATTTGGGGATTCATGACTTCCAGAAACAAGATAGGGAAGAGAGGGAACTGGAAGAAGGATGATATAGAGATACACTGTTTTCTAAGAAAAATCTGAGACTCTGAGGGCAGGACAAGTAGAGAAAGGGCATTTTGGTGTTTATCCAGGATGACCTACTTGATATTGAAGGATTGAAGAATTTGTCATATCATCTAGCATCACCCTTAAGGGCTTGAGTAAGATAAGATAGGTTAGATATTGCAAGGTGGAATGATATCTTCTAGGAATGAGTCACTAGAACAGCATAAAATCTAAGAAGGTTACATGGCATCTTCCAGGAATGAGAATGGATGCAAAAAATTGTGTACCATGATGGTATATATTCTAGGAATAATTCATAGGGGCAATGGACAATTGGAGAGAAGATTATGGATGGCATAGTATATTCTAGTGATGTACTGTTGAAACTGAGAGTGAGACTGATTGTGGTAGATGATCTCTTCCACGAATGACTCACAGATACATGGGGAGTAGGATGTATGAATATTTGGGGGTGAGTATTTTCTAGGAGGGACTGGTAAGGATGATGGGAACACAGAAAAAGTAGCATCATTTTAATAGATGGTATTTTCTAGGACTTGAGCCACTGAGCAGTAAGGGTAGATGCTTGAATGGAATGGTATATTACAGGAGTAATGGTATATTACATAGATACAAGGGCTAAAAGAATGGGTAAATGGTCTTGGGGTATTGGTATCTTTCTACAGTGATCAACTGAATTGTAGGAAGGAAGACATGAAAACTAAAAGTTGTGAGGAGGGATAGAATCTTTCAGCAAGATACCAGCCTAACCTTTAGTGGAGTATAAGGAAATATGATCCTCATGAAAAATGTGCAGAAAAGAACCAGGGTTAGGGAAGAAAAGGGAGCACTGTAGTAGTGTGGCAGGATGGTATTCCAAGGATAATCGCCAGGAATTGGAAGAGATCAGAATTGTAGGTAGTGGATCACAAAGCTGGATAATAGCAAAGTGGATAAAGTGCTTGCTCTGCAAGTATAAGAACAGGATTTTGGATCCACATAAAAGCTATGACAGGTATGACAGCCTGCCTGTAACCTTGGTGCTCCAGAGGTAGAGACAAGGAATCAGTGGGTCAAACTGGGTAGTTAGACTAGCCAAAGTGGCAAGCTCCAGGTTTAGTTGAGAGATACTGCCTCAAGAAATGAAGTAGAATGAGATCCAGGAAGACACTTTGCTTCAACCTTTGCCATCTGCCCCATGCATGGAGATGAGTTCACACACATGTGAAAAACACACACACATGCATAAACACTACACACTTACATGCCAATACAACATCAAACAGAATGTGCCACAGTGGTTAAGGGGAAGTAAGGTTGTATTAATGTGGTGGGAGAACATGTTCTAGGTGACCCAAAAGGGTGAGATGTTATCTTCTAGATATAGGCCAAGGTTAGGGGTAAGCCTGATGTTAGTTAATGTGGGAATAGTAATATCTTCCAGGAATAAGTCATAGCAGCATTTGAGAGTCAGGGAAAGACAGATAGAGTTATCTTCCAGGAATAAGTCATCACAGCATTTGAGAGTCAGGGAAAGACAGATAGGGTTAGATGCTAACTTCCAGGATAATTCATAGGGACAAGGGTGGGGAGATACAAAAATAGATATAAAGTGAGGACATCGTATTTCCTATGAAATGGCCCAAGAAACATGATACCTTATATGAATGACAACAAAAGCATGGGGATACAGGATAGATGGGTTTTTCTGGAGCAGCATCTTTCAGGAATGGTATATTGTTAGTATAGGAGAGAGTAAAGAGTGGATGTAGTTGGGATGTTAGGTATTTCTTACAGAGAGGAGAATAAGGAAGATGATGTTGAGGAATATCTTCCAGGATTAACCAAGAGGGAGGGGAGAGATTCAGATTTGTGTGAGTGATATAAGGCAATAGTATTTTCTACAGAAAAAATAAGGAGTAGCTTCTTGAAATGGCTTGAGAAAGGAAGGAAATTGACACATTTTAACAAGTCATTATGCCTGGAACATAGAGCAAGTAGTGAGATGAGTAATTGGAGTTGAACAGCCTATAAATGCATCTATTATATTGTCTACATGCAAGATTTTTCCATTTTAGGCCATTATAGAATTTTTTAAATTTTGTGTTTTAAAACTATGTTTTTAGTTTAGTTTAGTTTAGTTTTGCCTGTGCATCAGCATGGCCTCTAAGTTGCTATTTTCTTTCCTTTGCCTACTGCATGCTGAGATTACAGACCCTGTTACCATGCTCAGTTTATCACCAAAATGTTTTGAAAGTCCCCATTGTGTTTAGCATGGCAGCTAGTACTAGAGACATGTAGGGTGATAATATGGAGTTCACCACTTTCTCTGTTCATGTAAGAGATTGTACAGTAGCATGGACCAGAGTGGAGGCAGAAGAGATGGAAAAGTGAGGAAAATCTTTAAAATAGATGAGATGTATGCCTAATGATCAAGGATATCGAATCTTTAGATAGACCATATTTGGGGCTAACCATATTTCTTAAAAGCAGGAGAAAACTTTTTCTTTTCTTTTTTTCAAAAGTTAACAAATGATTTCCTATGGACATTGGGACCATGTGGTTTTCTTTTTTGTTGTTATTGTTGTTGTTTTTCCAAAACAGTAGAATCATTTTCTATTTGTAAAGGTTTTGTAAAGGTTCATTCCTCTGAGTTCTGTATACATTTTTAATTAGGTTATTATTGATGCGTGTGTGTGTTGTGTGACTGGTATATACATTTCACAGTATGTATGTGTCACGTGTGTGGAGATTAGAGGATAACTTTCAAGATTTTGTTTTCTCCTTCCTCCTATATGCATTGACATGTGATTTCTAGTCTTATTCTGTGAACAGAACTGCTCGGGAATTTGCTTCTGTTTTTGTGAACATCAATGTGACTTCTGAGCCTCATGAGGTATCCGCCCTGTGGTTCTTGTGGTATGTGAAGCAGTGTGGTGGCACCACTCGGATATTCTCAGTCACCAATGGAGGCCAGGTTTGTTCGGAAACTAACTTGCCAAGAACAATGCCTTGATAATATCTTCATTGTTACAATCATGTATGGTAGTATAAAATGATCTAAAACTATGTCTGAAAATTTTCTCATTTCTTTTTTTATTCCTGAAAATTCATAGCTAAAGAAAGTTTTATTTTGAATTAATTAATGTTTCATTTTGAATTATGTCTTAATAATTAAGTTCTTTCCTTTAAAATGTAGCAAAATGAAGCCATTTATATAGAAGTAATTAATTTCCAAGAATATTGTGGTGCTTATAAAATTAGTATACTTAAAATCATCTCTGTTTTTTATATAGGCTTCTTTATTCCACCTGTTTCTCACAATTATTCTTTCTTGTTAACTACTGTAGAATGGAAATCACTCTTCTAATTCACACAAGTCATTTATGTCCATTCTTTTCATAGTAAGTTCTGTAGTTCTATTTTAGAATTTAACTGTCCCCTTGCAATTTGTTTTTGCTTCTATACATTTCTATTACTAACGATGAAGCAATTCAATTCATTGACCAAGTACATAATAAATAATAACAGCAAAGCCTAAATACTAAATCCCAAGTCCTTAGATTCTGACATTCCCTTACCCAAAGAGAATGCGAGGAATGTTATGCTCAAGTAGGATGTTAATTAATTTGTTACAGATAATTTCTAGCTTATGCTGTTACCTGAGTTCCAGAATTCTGAGTGCATTTGATGAATTTAGACTTGTCTTCAAAGTGAACCATTGTTCTCTTCAGGTGATCATCTGAAGTCTCCAAATTAATACAAGACATTTACATTTTTAAAATGTATACTTATGAACAGAAACTCAGTATTACTCCGTTTAACTCATTTTACCTTCTGAAGCATCTTACTCATGGGTTATCTGTATCCTTCATTTGTAAGGGACAGAATACTTCTAGACAAGCCCTATATGATCTTTTAGAAAGTAGAATTTTGATTTTTACTCTCAAGCCATTATCACAATATCTTTTAAAAGACCTTAACATTTGCCCCTTTATAATTCAATTTAATAACTTCTAAACACAGAAAAGAAGATAGTGAACAGATAGAACTAGTCCATGATTTTTATGTTATACTAGATTTCAAAGCACCTGTTTGGAAACACAGATCAGATTCAGTATTAAATAATTTAAATTTCTTCAGCAAGAATAAATGATAAATTTAAGTCTTAACCACTCTGTGATCATTTTTTTTTTTTGGTTTTTCGAGACAGGGTTTCTCTGTGGCTTTGGAGCCTGTCCTGGAACTAGCTCTGTAGACCAGGCTGATCTCGAACTCACAGAAATCCGCCTGCCTCTGCCTCCCGAGTGCTGGGATTAAAGGCGTGCGCCACTCTGTGGTCATTTTTATAAAAACTTTGATGTCCTCACTAAATGTCAGTTGCAATAGTTACTGCATAACTACTCATAAGTGAGGTATCATAATTGTCAGTTTTGTCCTGCCCCACAGTTTACTGACATGCATTTGTAAAAACTCAAAAAATCTCCTACAGAAGGCTAAAAATATTCCCTATGCTGTAACCAAATATGCTGTATTAAGAACTTACTATTATTTTTTTTTTGGTTTGTGCTTAAGCAATATTCATGCTGAGAATAGCAGGTTACAGAAGGTAGAGAACTTCTGATCCTTTAGTGTTGCTCAAGAGAAATACTCAGCAATGTTTAAAAGAATAAACAGATCACTATTCTGCCATGACTATGAAACTTACAGTTAGTTTTAAGAAGAAGATATTCAAAAGCTGAAATTCAGGTTCCTAGGATCTGATTTGGCAATTTCTGATAGGGCATTGCTAATCTTAATAGCATGCTAAGCTTATTCTTTTAGAGTAATGTCATGTATAATAAAATATTTTCTATGTTCTTACCTGCTCAGGCAAGTAACTCCATGGGGAGATAGAAACCATATCCCCTAGGATCAACATAGATACCTTCCCTTTTCAGGGCACCTTACATATACCATACTTGTGCAAATTTGAAGTTCCTAGGCTTGCTGTTTGCATTTGATCAGAGCAGCATTGGCATAAGAGAACATTTTTTTTCCTGATATCCGATTTTATATGATAGTAATGGCTTTTCCTTTCTGGAAGCTGTGTTGATGATAATAATTGAGGTACCTTGGCTTACTCTCTCTATTCTAATGATTTTTCCCACAATTGGCTATGGCAATGATAGAGGTCTGGCATTTACCTTCTTGGAGATTCATGAATTAGTGGCAAATGTTCCACCATTTTCCTTTTATATCTTTTCTGCTTACTTTCTCCAACAGGAACGGAAATTTGTAGGTGGAGCTGGCCAAGTAAGTGAAAAGATGATGGATCTTCTTGGGGATAAAGTGAAACTGAACTCTCCTGTTACTTATATTGACCAAACAGATGACAACATCATTGTAGAGACACTGAATCATGAACACTATGAGGTAACTCATTATAATCAAAGGAGTTTATAGTCAATAGGTTTTGTGCTTTTTGCAACTTGTAATCATATATAATCTAATCAGTAATAGTTAACTCTAGCATATATCTACTGCAAGTATTCCAGATTGACAGATTTGGTTTACTTAGTATCCGACTTTGCTTCTTTGTTGCTGTGATAAATACCATAACCAAAAGCAACTTTGGGAAGAAAGAATTTATTTGGCTTTCAGGTCTTGATCACAATCCATCATTGTGGGAAGTCACTAGAGATATTCAAACAGGAGCAGAGGCAGGAATCATGCAGAAGTGCTACTAATCGGCTTGCTCCTATGACTTGTTCATTTTGCTTCTTATACTACTCAGGACCACCTGTCCAGGGATGATACCTTCCATAGTGGGCTGGACTGTCCCATATCAATCATTAATCAAGAAAATGCCCACAGACAAGCCAACATGCCAGTATGATGGAGGCAGTTCCTCAGTTGTGGCTCCCTTTTCCAAGCTAACTCTAGTTTGTGTCAAATTGACAAAATATACCATCCCACCTATCTTGTTTTATTTTCTTGCTTCACAGATGCTTGATTTGGTATTTTTTAATGATGCTTTGTACCCTTTGCAAAGGCTGCAACTCATGTGTCAAGTGATATTTTTGCATATTGCATTTCAGTGTAAATATGTAATTAGTGCCATTCCACCAACTTTGACTGCCAAGATACACTTCAAGCCAGAGCTTCCACCTGAGAGAACCCAGTTAATTCAGCGTATTCCAATGGGGGCTGTCATCAAGTGCATGGTATATTACAAGGAAGCCTTCTGGAAGAAAAAGGGTAGGTTACTCTTATTTGTGTTTGAACTATTAAGTAAAGAAACCACATTTTAGGGATATTGAGAATATGCTGAATAAAAAAAGACAAATGTTTTAAAATTTGTAGAGAAATTGTAAATCTGTCTCTAAATTTCACAAAATGGCCTCAAGAGTGACTGTTGACAATGGGAGAAAAAGATGGGCATGCAATAGGAATATCAATTATGGGTCTACCACTGTCAAGCTCCTGGCATTTATCTTGCTGCTTATCCTTCATGAGCAGAATGAGACCACGGGACCTTGTGGAAACAGTGCTGCTATGAAACCAACTATTCCTGGACTTCACCAATTTATTGGCATCAGTCTCTAAACATAAAATGATTATAAGGCTTTGTAATAAATGCTTATTATGGTGTTGTGAATATTAAATGAGGCAGGGTTTAGGAAACAGGAACTTTCCAGATATGGTTCTTGCTCATATCCAACAGAATTCTTTTCACAACTTCTGGTGTTAATGGAAGTGATTCCTTCTAGCGCATTCTGTCTTTTTCTCCATTTGTTCCTGCATTCAGGGCTATTTTACCATTTTCCCCATCTTACCATTTTACCATGCATGAGTCATAGCCCTCTGTGGAAAAAATGATAGAGATGGGCCATTTTCCACATAAGGAATAGATGTTCTTGTCTAGTCATGTGTGTCTTTAAAATACAAGGGTCTAGAGTTAGAGCTAATAGTAGTACTTTAAAATTTTCCTTCCTTCTACTAAAATAGTTTGTATACATTCATTATATGTGTGTATCTCCAATGTTAATTTCAATTCCTTAATTAATTTTCTCCTGCTTAAGACTATTGTGGATGCATGATAATTGAAGATGAGGACGCACCAATTGCAATCACTCTGGATGACACCAAACCAGATGGATCAGTGCCTGCCATCATGGGGTAAGTTAGAGCTGGGTGCAGTTTCTAATTTGTGTTTGTATAGGTGCTGGCAAAGTATATTTTTTTATAATTAGACTCAATCAATAATACATATAAACTATATCATGTTTCCATGTGTTAGCATATCCATAGAAATGTTTTTGTGTGTGGCACAAGAATGCCAGAAAACTACTAAATTTGACACCATTTTTAACTTGTACTCACCTACCTATTCTCTATAAAAACTTACATGCTGTATGATAGTCAGTGTTTTCTAAAGACAGGATGTCTGCAGTCATTTTGGAAAGAGAACAACTTTACCCTATAAAACCTTTCAACTACAGTGTCTCTGTACTTGATCTGCTTTCCAAACACTGGTTGCATACAAAGTATCAGTGTCAATATAACCCAGGCCACAAGTGAATGGCCTGTAGTTATCATTCAGCAGCAATACTTCTTTTGTCTTCAGAAGTGCACTGATAATTCACCAGTCTGGAAACTAGTGCTCTGGAGAAGGAAGTGGGCCCTCACAAACGAAATGCTAAGGAGAGAAGACACACCTTCCTAGTTGCCTACCTTTGTCCTTTTAAAATATCCTATATACATAGAAAGCCTTTAATTTTATTGCACTATAACAAAATAACACAAATTGATAATAGTCAAATGACTTTTAGAGACCAATGGTTTCTGATTTGGGGAAATGCAGGCCTCCTTGCTGAAGAGATGGTTGAGCTTTATAAATATCGCATCATGCCATTTTGGAAAAGCTAAAAGAGAAAGGGGTCAGACCCAAGTTCCAAGGAACCTAAGAAGCAGGTTCTGCCTGGGTTACTCATAAAATGGTTACTAAACGCTCCTCTGGTTGTAATGTAAGAAATAGTACTAAATTCCTGAGGCAGGCAGGAACATACAGTATAATGACCATAAAAAGCCATATATCCTGTTCATTTTTAGTCCCACTGAGCAAGACAGGATCCAGGTAGTTTTTCCAGCTTGGCATTTCTATAGGCAGCAAAAAGCAAATCAGGGTACGAGTTTCAGAAAGTCAGTGATAGTTCAGTTATGGATGGAAGAACTTCAGATGCCCTTCCCTTATGCTCCACTGGAGTTGCTTGGCTTTATAACAGGGACATATGTGTTGACATTCTTCCAAGTATGCTGGAATTATTTAGGAAATGCCTAAAATGATGTATTTTTTGTTTTAACTATATTTTATTGCTAAAAGATGTATATCTGCGTGAAAAATGTTTTAATAATATCTACTTTGTGGAATGATCAAATCAGGTTTGTTATTATTTCCTTTACCTCATATGGTTATTTTTTTATGATAAGAACATTGCAAACTTTGTTTAGCTATTTTAAAATATATAATAAATTAATATTAACTATGGCCACCCTACTGTTCAGTAGATCACCGAATTTATTCCTCCAGTTTAACTGGTACTTTATGTTTATGGGAGGCCAGACATTACTTTTTTCAAATATGAAGAACCACTGAAAACAATTGTGATGCAAGAGATCTCATTCCTTCCTTCTGTTTAAAATGCAGAACAGAGATTTTAAAAGGTAGATGGTTTCTTTGTCCTCCCTTGCATCTCACTTATGTTAGGAGATAAGTTCTCCTTTACTGTAAATAGCATTTTATTAGCTTGGAGGCAGAGCCAGAGGAATCTGCAAGCTGACCTCCAAAAGGAGCTTCCAGTGTACATGCCTTCTCATGATTTCGCATTTCCACAAACCTAAAACTCTGTTCCTTTGTTTCTAAAATGTGTTGTTCTTTGTTATATATGTAGTATAAGCCAGACTTGCCACTTCTAGGATACTTTCCGCCAGTGTGTCTCCTAGACAAACACTGCGAAGGATAATAAACTTGAATATTTTTCTTTTCTTTTTTTATTTAAAATTTTTTTATTTCACATACAAACACCAATTCCCCCCCTCCCCTTCTCCCCCCCCTCCCCTCTTCCCCCATCCCACCCCAAACCACTCCTCAGAGGGGGTAGAGCCTCCCTTGGGGGAGTCAACAAAGTCTCGCATATCATTTTCCTTTTGTAAATGTCTTTTGTTGTTATTGTTACAACAATATGAGGATTGAGAAGAAATATTTCATCTTTCATTATTGTTGTTGACAGCTACTCTTGTTACATTAGGTCAGTAGCTTCCACCCTCTCCTATTTTGTATGTACAACACTGCATATTGAACCTAGGGTCTGGTACATGCTAGGCAAATGTCTTCTACTATTTTGTGTGATTTATTTTGATATAGGGTCTCACTAAATTACTCTGCAGCAAAACTGGTTTTAAACTATCCTGTTTCAGAATCCTGAGTAGCTGCAATTGCAGGACTGTGCTGCCAGACTCAGTTCAATTGCTTGTGCTTTTTTCCTTCCTTCCTCTAACCCTCCTTTCCTCCCTCCCTCCCTCCCTCCCTCCCTCCCTCCTTTCTTCTTTCCTTTCTCTTGAGGCAGGTTCTCCTATAGCCAAACATGGTTTGTAATTGAGACTGACCTTTAACTCCTGATCCTCTGGCCTCCACCTTCTAAATGCTGGGATTGCAGACATATGTCAGCACATCCGACTTTGTACTTTGTTCCTGATAATGAAAACCTTGTAGATTATCACTTCTACTTTGGTCTTTGCATCTGGCCCTAAGAGCCTCAAAAACAAGGGTAATAATTAACTAGCACTGTGTTTGTAATAACCATCACCTTTTAGAAACTGTACTTTAGAACTATTAAATGTCTTCAATGCAACTCCAGCATGTTTGATTTCCACAGTAAATGGCTAAAGAAAGTTGAACAGTGATTATTGTATTCCTAGTGAGATTTTATAGTTGATAAACAGCACTGTCTTTGAAGTCACAACCATACAAAATCAGCTGACTAATAATTTAATTTTTCATCAGATCTTGGTAATTTTCTTTAAAATAGTATACAAGTCTAAACTTAATGATTATTGCGCAAACCTAAAATATAACCAAATCCATTAATTTTGAGTCAAAACTAAAAGTGATAACTCAAGCAAAATTATTGTATCCTATAATGTTGACTAGTTCAAATATCATTTTAATTCCTTCATTTTTAAATATTAAGACACAAATGCTGGATTTCATTGTGGCATTTCCATCCATACTTTGTTTTCGTAGATACTTCTCTTCCATTCTCCATCCCCACCTCTAGTACCCCTCTTGCTGGTATCTTTATTTAAATAATATGCATCTGCCTCTGAAACTCCATCCTGTATTAACATTCTTTGTATCTTTGCTTCTATGAACATGTTCTAATAGCAGTTTTAAAAGAGTTGCTAGTCAAATTGATGAACACTTCTATTCAGGGGTGAGGAGAAAAGGAAATATCCCCTTTCAGCCTTGATCTATCTATCTATTTGATCTCTCTAGAAAAAAAGTAAAATTTTAGCCATTTTTAGTGAAGAAATAGTTTCATTACACTAGTTCATTTAGATTGGTAGTGGATACTGGAAAATAGATCCAGAACTTTCTATATACTAATCAAGTGCTTTACCACTGAGCTATGTCTTCACATCTCCCTTGGATTTTATAATATATCTATTTCTATTAATAGTATAAATAAGGATTTCATCTCACAATTGAATTCTTTAAAATGTATGTACAGTTAATATCATTGACATAATATATAGGATCTATTTGACTAAAGGGACCAGATAGATTATAGTTGAGCTTTACTGAGTTAGTTTGTTGGGAGGCTCTATTTAATCATTTTCCAAGGAAGCTGACTTAGAGATAGAGACATGGATACAGGAGACTTATTGGGGTGAACTTTAGGGAGTACTGCTTTTGTGGAAGGGAAGGAATCAGAGAGAATGTTGAATGTCAGTGCTGTCTAAACCAAGATCTCAGCCAGCCCCTAGAAATATGGAAGCTGGAATGACCTTTCACACTTGTTCCAAACTTAGACAAGGGAATGGGCCAACTTAATCATTTGCTATCAATTGCCTCTTAGGAGGGGCAGGATATTGTATAAGGAACTTATCTGCTGGTGAATATAATTGCTGGGCAAGGGTTTAATATGTGAGCTAAGGGCACCAATTACTGGTTCTGAAGAGCATTTGGGCAGGGAGTGAGGAGTGTATCATTGCATTTATGGTAGGTGTATATTAATAATTGTCTAGTTTTTATTGAGTGTCATTGCCATGATAATCATCTAATGCAATCTTAATATGCCTAACATCTAATTTCCTATAATATCAAATATGATGTTAAATTTTAGAAGTAAAATATTGAGCAAGAAATTATCTGTTAATTAGGAACTCACAGTCTAGCAGAGTTTTGGATGCAGAGGAAACCTGAAGACAGGATGGCATTTGCTGTAGGGGAAGGGGAGGGTTGGGAGAGTTCATTAATGCTGAGTAGATAGTGGTATGTATTTATCATGACTATAACTGCCCATTCAAATGTGGCTTCTTTCTCCAGCTTCATACTTGCCCGGAAAGCTGATCGACTTGCTAAACTAAATAAAGAAATAAGGTAAACAATTTATATCTGAAAAATCAATAAATGTTGCCTTTACATTTTGTTTGTTGCACCAACAATAGTAGAACAATAGCAAGAAGAGCACAATAATTTACAAATATTCCCAACCTCAACAATTCAACATTTTAAATACTTTGCTATGTTCTCCTTGGTCAAGTCAATGTCTATGTGCATGTGTTAATTTTGCACATTTGTGTTCATTTTATGTGGTTAAGAGATAGGGTTTTCCTGTGAGATAATTGAAGGTTGCCAGAATACTGTAATAGAGCCCTCATGGCTTAGCCACTTTTCCGAAGAGCACGCCCCCTTTGAATACCATCACTTTGGTAATAAAGTTCTAACAAGGAAAAAACTTAATGTGGTGTGTGTGTGCATGCACGTGCACATGTGCATGTATATATGTGTTGGCTCATGCATACCATAACACATGAGTGGAGAACAGAGAACAGTTTTGTGGTATCAGTTTTCTTCTACCTTGAAATGGGTTCCAGGAATTGAATTCAAATCATCAGGATTATATAGCAAGCATGTGTACTCACTGAATCATCCTACTAACTCCAACATAGGAATTTTGGAGGGTTGCATACATTCAGATCTTAGCCACTAACATGTGACAAAGTCAAGAGAAGCGGATAACACATCCACATTTTTTTTCATTCCACCACAGTAAGCTTGACATTTTCTGTTGGATTTCCTGCATTTCCTTTCTATTAATAATAAAATAAATACCAGACTGGAGGTAGACATTTGGTTATGATTCCACATACGGGCTGAACTGTAATGTTTTTGTAAGCCAAAACCTTTACTGAATACATCAGTGATAAGAACAGTAGTTTTCAAAACTGACTGTGCCTAACTCTCACAGAAAGTATTTGGAAAGTCTAATCTCTTGAGGCTTATAGAATATGATTCAGTAGGTCTGAAGTAGAGACTTAGAATTTGTATTTTTTAACTACCTGCTCAAGTGATTATGAGGAGACAGTTTGATAAGCTAGTGGTTTAATACAACTATAAAATGTTGTGCATGGTGGCCTCATTTGGCTGCAGCTTAAAATATATTCTATTATTTTTAAGGACAAACTAACCTAAATACATTACTCTGAGTGGAGAATATATCTCAGCGGTAAAACACATCTTTTTTGTGTATGAAACCCAGTGTTTCATCCCTGTCAGACATACATAGAACCTATTTCTGTATAACATTATTGTCTTTCATATATCTTCTCAAAAGTTTTAATTTAAATGAGGGAAGGGAATGGGAAAGATAATTCTCTGATGTGTTTATACAAGCTTGTCTTTGGCTCATATAATAATATGAAATACAGTAAATGTTATTTTATTATGTTTTTATTATTTATGATTAAAAGTTAATTACAATGAAGGTTGAATTTTAGGTTTAGTTCTAATTTAGTAAAGATTTTATTATACGTAAAGAAAATAAGTTAAACACATCAAGCTTTTTAGAATACTGATTGACAATATTCTTATTTGTCTTGGCAATAGTCTTAACTGACTCTGAATGTCTGAATTACTGCTTATAATCTCTCATAAAGTTAGAATCTGCAATCTCTTTGTGGCACAGAAAAGAGGATACAATGTAGAAGGAACTGCTGGCAGGCTGCGATCCCACCCAGCTCCCGCACAGCTACTTTACACCCGAAATAGCAACACACAAATTGTATTCATTTAAACACTGCTTGGCCCATTAGTTTCAGCCTCTTACTGGCTAACTCTCACATCTTGATTAACCCATTTCTAATAATCTGTGTAGCACCAACAGGTGGTGGCTTACTGGGAAAGATTCAGCATGTCTGACCTGGAGGCTGGCTCCATGGCGTTTGCCTCACTTCCCTTCTTCCCAGCATTCTGGTCTGTCTACTCCACCCACCTAATTTTCTGCCCTATCAAAAGGCCAAGGCAGTCTCTTTATTAACCAATGAAAGTAACACATAGACAGAAGGCCCACCTACATCAATAAAATACTGGACTAGGCATAGAATTTGACTCAACACATATTGAGCACCTACTATGGACAGAATACTCTGAATAGTAAAGGTTTGCCTTCCCATTGCTCAACTGAATAAAGGAATCTGAAGCTCACTGAACTTCAGCTTCATCTTTTAAATGGAGAATTTAGATTAGACAGAGAAAGCAAGTAAACTTATGACTTCTTCCTGTATGTTAGGGCTTTTAGTCAAGCATTTTCTAACAGTCCTAGAATTAACATATCCACTTAACATTATGTGACATCATTCATGAGAGACATTTGTCTCCTTTAAAACCTTACATAAAAACAGTATACCAATAAATAGCATGTATAATTCTACCTCCTCTTCTCGACTTAACCTTCTGTACATACATGATAGGAGTCCAAGAGTTATATATATCAATGGTATAAAAACAATGATATCAAGAGTGATAAGCTTAAATTTTGTTCCACACTATTTAGAGAAATTGGGGTTATGTTTTAAAAATATTTTCTAATGTAATTGGCAATATAAACTTGTATATTTTTATAGTTGGTTCTTTAATACTAGTAAGCTTGGCTCTTGCATGTATGTGTGCACTCACACATACATATTTTTAACCATTTCTTTCACCTGGTCTTAACGCTTTTTATGGGTTTGAATTACACCTTTCCCTCATTTTCATAAAAATTATTTTCTGCTTGTTCATTAGCCTTTAACAAATATTTCAGATGCATTTTCACATGTTTAAAAAGAGTAAATGTCAGTAGTGTATATATATATACTCAATACTTGAGATAGAGCCATTAACTTAGAAGATGGGTAGATTTAGTAACTTAGGTTTTTAAAAAGTTTACCAGGAATAGTTGTGAGTTTTAATTGTATCTTCTTTCAAGAAGAGATTAGCTAGGCATGGTAGAATACACCTATAATCCAAACACTCAAGAGGCTGAGACAAGGGAATCACAGCAAGTTTGAAACCACCCTTATCTCCATAGCAAGTTACAGGCTATACATAATAAGACTTTGAATTTAAAAAAGGAAAATTCTGTTGCTTCCTCAAATTATTGTACTGAGACATATGATATTAACCAGCATACAGAAATACACTAAGACATATAAGCTGAGTACAGGGATTAATTGACTATTTGTTTTATAGTTATGGAAGGCTATTAAGTTTCATTTTTTTCTTCAAGGAAGTCACTATCAAGTACCCTAGAACTTAATGTGTTTATACTACGCCCATCAGTTATTACTTATTTAACATACCTTTGTTCTTCTCTATAGGAAGAGGAAAATCTGTGAGCTCTATGCCAAAGTTCTGGGATCTCAAGAAGCTTTACATGTAAGAACCCCTGGTCTTACATGTAATCTAAGTCTTTAACAGACTTTGCTCTGTTGGGTCAAAGTGGTAAATTAAAGCAAGTTCTGGTTTCTTCTAAGTCTTAAGCGGCGAATAGAAATAGGTGTGTTTAATTTAGAGAATTAATTTCAGTAATCCAAAAGTATTAAAAACTAGTGTCAGGTACATAGAACTTGTGATATGACATTCCTTTGGGCTTTTTAAATATTCACTGCACAATAGACATTCAACTGTAGTAAGAGACGTGGGGCTACAATCACTATGTCACGGATCATTGAGATTAGTCTGCAAAACAGAGATCCTGTGCTTCTGTCATTGTCAAGTGCTTGCTATTAAATAAAAACCCCAGATATGTCACCATGTGTTGCTGAAGGCTTTGTGATATATATTTTACACACCAGGCTCAATGTTTGCCCTGGTCAAAGATATACTTATTCATTTCTCCACGTGGAGAATCAATTCATACCTCATTTGGCACTCCGAGATTTTTTTTTTTATACTGCTTCTGAAAGTAGTGAGAAGGAAATGGCTTCTGAAGAGCCTACCAATAGCTGAGGACTTTTTTTTCGGTGGATTATTGTTTAAACTGTGCAAATACTAAACATTTAGAATGTGATAGGGGAGTCATGGGGAAAAAAGTGCTCCCCAAGGTGTACTTTCATTTTGTGTCCTTTGAGCAGTATTTTTATCATGTACTTTTCCAGTTTAGCAAAGCGATATGAAATAATGTTTTGTGCTCATCTTTTACTTGCTCCCTCCCACCCTGCCATTATTAGTGATGCCTGAGTAGATTGGAAAGTAAAGTCCACTTTCTTAAACACTCCAGAATTTGGAGAAGACCTTTCCAAAAGCTAATTGTTAGTAGTGTTTCCTGAAGGCTTAGCTTTACATTCTACTATCTGCATGGATGAGAGCATCCTTGCTACCAATTATTGGGCTACGTTTTGACTACCTTAGGCAAGATGTTAAGAAAATCTGTGTTTTTATTTTACAATGTACTCTTTTTTTTGTCTTGCAGTGCTGGGAATTAAACTTGGGATCTTGTGCATGTTATGAAAGTGATTTACCACTCAGTTTTATTCCTGGACTGAAGTTTTTCTCTCTTCCCCTCCTCCTTCTTCCCACTTTCCTTTTCTTTCTAATTTTCTTATTTATTTTCATTGTGCTGGGGCTCAAACTCAGGGCCTGGCACATACACTCCACAGAGTCCCATTACCACTTTATGCTTTAAATATAAGCTGTTTTGTTAATGTAACATACACAAGGCCTTCACTGTTGGCAGGTAACAATTCAACTTTTATTTCCTTTTGTAATTTTCTTCTCATTGAACTACAGCCAGTCCATTATGAAGAGAAGAACTGGTGTGAAGAGCAGTACTCTGGAGGTTGCTACACAGCCTACTTCCCTCCCGGCATCATGACCCAGTATGGAAGGTACTGCCCCATCACTGCACCAACTCATACAGGGCTGGCACACATTCAAACAAGCTGTGTTCAATAAGACTTGTAGAAATAGGCAATACTCATATTTGTACATCCCCGATAAATAGTCAGCTTGTAAATCAATGGATGCCCCCAGAGAAATGGATGTTAACACATAGAGTTGTAGCAGAGTACTAGGCAGGATGTCAGATGTCAGCAGCACTTGTGAGATGAAGACAACCACATTGTCCTTTGAGAAGCCCTTTGAATTCTCCTCAGCATTTATTTTCACAGGGTTACCCAGCCACAGGACAATGGATGTGTTTGTCCAACACATCTGTCTTGTCAACAGAGAGGCATCATATATTCTTCAAAGGAAAAATTCCTAAGTGTATACAGCTGAGATGGGAGGAGATGAGATCTACATGGCCTGGGAGTCTACCCTTACTTAGAAATACCATGTTTCATATACATTGTTATTTCTTTGTCATGTAGGCATAGGATTCAGGGTTACTTGCTCAGTTTCAAGAGATGCTACATAAGAGTACTGTACCCATATGTTCTCACAGGCTGACTAGCTGGCTGAAAATATGTCATCATCACCTTTAGTGATGAGTAAATTTACAGTCTACTTCTCCCAGACTTGATAGTTTAGATCCTTGTGCACAGGTATAGAAAGCAAAGAGTAGCTAGCCTTTTACTTTGGGCTGAGTCTCATGAGTGTTTTCTCCTTGATTGGTCTCCCTTCCTTTTGTGGACTAGATGAAGACAGTGATTGGCTCATTTCCCCTCAGCACATTTCCATTTAACTCTGTGTGACCTCTTTATTTCCTTGAAGGGTGATTCGCCAGCCAGTGGGCAGAATTTACTTTGCAGGCACAGAGACAGCTACACAGTGGAGTGGCTACATGGAAGGAGCAGTCCAAGCTGGAGAACGAGCAGCTAGAGAGGTAAGGAAGGAATCTAAAGTGCACTTCTTTTTCGTTGTAATTACATCTCAGGAAGCAGTCCTGGGAATTGAATTGAAGGCATCATGCATGAGAGGTATGGGGTATACCAATGAGCTGTAGCCTAGCCCTGTGACAGCGTTCTTGTCATCTTGTCTTTCTTGTTGTTTGTTTTATGTTTATATGGATATACTACAACAAATTAGATGCTTGGGCTATTTTATCGACATGTATACATGCTATTTGTATTTCTTGTGCATATTTGTGGAGTACACATTGATATTTTGATGCCTATAAATAATATGCAACAATCAAATCAAGATAATTAGCATCTCCTTCATATCAAATATGTATCGTTTCTTTGAATCGTTCAAAATCCTTTCTTCTAGCTCTTTGAAACTATATAGTAAATTGTGATTATCCATAGTGACCCTATATTGCTATAGAATGTTAGAATTTGTTCTTCCCTTTGAACTATATTTTGATACCTATTATTCACTCTCAGTAGTCTTACTCCCTGTTGCCTTTCTTAACTTCTGGTGGCCTCTGTTCTTTTTTCTACTTCTATAAGATCCACTTTATTTGGCTTCTGCATATAATGGATAGCATGTACTTTTTGTATTTCTAGGAATGACAGATTTCATTTAAGGTTGTATTGTTATTTAAGCTCATCCATGTTGTAAGACTGATAACATTTCATTCTTATTTAAGGCTGAATAATGTTCCATTGTATGTGAATAACAAATTTTCATTATCCATTCATCCATCTATTTCTTGACACTGATAGACACTGATAATTATGTATAGATTTCTTCGACACCCACCTGTGTGTTTATCAATGTTTAATATGTTTTGAGTCTATCAAAAATATATAATGTCACATTATAATACCATAGTCACTTCTCTTTCAGGTCTTGAATGCTCTCGGAAAAGTTGCCAAGAAAGACATATGGGTTCAAGAACCTGACTCTAAGGTAAGTTTGGCTACTCCATCTCTATAGACAAGCTACAAGGCAAAAAAAAAATTGCATTGCCCTTCTTTCAGCCTTTATTATAGATGTAACTGTCTTGGGTATAGAAATGCACACTATTACATATAGACTTTGTTTCTTCTAGCTATGCAAGAATTTCTGTTAATGATCTATGTTCATTCATCTAGGATGTTCCAGCATTTGAAATTACCCACACCTTCTTGGAGAGGAACCTGCCTTCCGTGCCTGGTCTACTAAAGATCACTGGTTTTTCCACCTCTGTGGCTCTTCTCTGCTTTGTATTGTACAAGTTTAAACTGCTGCCGTGATCCTGAATTTTTTTCACCCTCAGGCCCCCTGCTTGACCATCCTTAGCACCATCACCATCAAAAAGAAAATGTGGATGAATTACAGCCTGTGTCACTGGGCCATTTAAGTGCACTTGATTTAACCCTCCTCAGTTTAATCTCAGTCATTGTAAAGTGATAACAATCCAAAGAATCACCTAGCTAATTTTAGTAAGATTAAGTTTCATTCTGTTTATTACACTAATTTGTGTTTGCTGGTAGAATAAAATCCTGTGAGTATTTGATTTCAGAAAGGTGAAATAATTGTGAGGAATAATTTCTGGGTTCTGTTTTTCTTGCCTTTAACGCGAAATAGTTGATGGTTTCAGAAATAAAACATTTGACTTATTGTGATTTTCATGTAGCTACCCAAATGTGCAGAATAAAATGGTGGCTGAAATGTTCTCTAGGTATCCTCACTGACCAGTTCCATGTGAGACAAACTACCATAGGTACTTTATTTTCTGGACTGTATCTAACTATGAATTGGCCCTTGTAACTAACATTCTGTGCTGATTTAAAGAAAGTAGCATTTTTTCATAGAATTGGATCCCTAAACCACCTGTGTCTTCAATGTGGTTAAATATTAGTATGCCATTTTCTCTCAAGTACCAAAGGACACATAAAATTTTCTCCATTGTTATTTATTGAGACAGTCAAATACAGAAATAAAATTAAGGCTCAATCTGATAACATTACTTGTTTTAATTATTAGGTTTTATGACAACCATTAAATTAAATGATTTTATATACCCAGACTGAGTTCTTGATCTTAGAAGTATTGTGAGCCTGGAATGGTACCTATCTATTCTCTTTTCCATTTGAAATAAAACCTGTTAATTAAAAGAAAAGAAAAACACTTTCCAAAGGTTTCAACCACAAAGCCCTTCCTCTTTAAAAAAAATATAAACATATTTTTTATTTAAGAAAAATTGAAAGATTGCTAGCACATGCCAGTCAACCCAAGTTTATTACACTAGATTTGTCCTAAATACAAACTTAAGCCTCTGGATGATGATATGAGGACTTGAGATCTTTAAAGTTTTGCCCATTCTAAGAGCAAAGATCTAGTTTTTCTGCCCTGCTTTATCTTGTAATTCAAAAGCATTTTAACTAACTTAAAAGATTCAGTGATGTCTTATACTCCAGTACATAAGGAGTTGCCTGGATTCATATCAAACTGCAGTGAGAATTCTCATCACTAATCTGTTAGAGTTGTGCGTATTAACTTACTGATTAACTCAGCCCTGACACACCTTGAGAAATGATTTAAACAGCTGAACTGGCAATGGTTCTAACGGTATTCAGATTATTAGCATTGAACTATTGAACGTTGAAAATCTCCTGAGTTTGCAGTTTACCCTCTTCTGCTTCTTAGAAATCCAATTAATCCATCCTAATTATATCAATCCTATTAAGCTACAGCTTGGGTATTAAAATGATTTCTAGTACAGATGTGCTTTGATATGTAATGAGAGTTGAGAAACACCATATGTGAGGTTGTCTACCACAAAGATATATCATAGATCTTTTTTCTATGACAGAGAAAAAAAAAGTCATTTTAAGAGGTTGATAATCCTAATCCCCTTCACAGTTCTGAATACCAGTTGGCCTTTTTAATAGTTAGGATGAGAATTAGATATAAGAAGTACACCTTTTTGTCACAGCTGTTAAATATGGACTCATTATGATGAAAAAAGTTAAACTTTACTGAAAGACCGTGAACTTTATTTTGCTTGATGGTTGTGAACGTGTTGCCCAATGTTCCATGTCCAAAGTTGGCCCCAGTGCTACATGTGAGTGTTTGTCTATGTATATGATTTGACACTGAAGTAAGATTTTGTCTGTATGGTACTGGGTTTTGTTGTTAATAAAATGTGATGCCACCTTCATTCAGATAGACTTCTCTTTTTGGCTGATAGTTCTATCAGAAGGTTCAAATGGGTTCCCATGGCCAGAAATGTATAGAGGATGAACTTCTAAAAAGCATTTGATATTGAGACTTCAGATTCTCAACACTGGATTTTGTCTTCAAGCCCAGGAGTAGATCAAATGCTATAATATTGTAGTTGATCTGACTGGGCCACAGTTGTGTGTTCTACCTACTATTTGTGGTTTCTCACCTAATTAGTTTATGATGCCTAGAGCAGGTCACTGGGATTCTCTGCCTCAGTTTCCCTATCTGGGCAAAGATTATCATGAGACCTTATAGAGAAGTAGAGAGTAGATGACCTATGAGTTGTGTGTCACTCAGAAAGGTACAAATTCCTTTTGACGTCTTCTGGTCATCAAAAATTAAAAACTGTTGCTAATGGTTTGGTTCGCTTGACCAAATTGTTCACAAGTCTCTCACTTTAAAAAAATAAGAAATCTGTTTTATATCATTTGAATACCAAATTATTTGTGGTTGCCTTTTATTCTCACAAAATACCAACCGAGTAAAATTACTGGGGTGGGTAAAAGAGGCCTACGTTAGAAGTTTAAAAAGACAGACGACACAGGAAAAGTCCTGTTTAGTGCCTGTCCTAGCAACCCCTGTTATTCGTATGTCCTGCTCATATATCCATGTCATGGCTGACGAGAGCATGCTATATACCATAACATGCTGGGTGGGGGTGAGGGGGATTTCTCACTATTCTATAGAAACCACCATCTTTCTTCTGTGTTGACTTACAGAATTCTTGTAAGCAGGAGGGCAATAGTGAAATGGTTAAATCTAAAACTATGCTGTTCATAGTATACAGAAAAATCCACAAACAGTCCCTAAACAGAAGAACCTGGTGAGATCTTGAAAAGAGGAGGAAAACAAAGGAAGGCACTATGTAACAGCAACAGTTTCCATTTCCTCTAGAAAACAAAGTTACTAAGTAACAGCAACAATATTTTGTTTTTGTCTCTAACTCAGGGCTTTTGTTCCCTTTGGCCAAGGCCATTCTCTTAACAGTTCTAAGATAAGGCAAGCCTCAAAGCAATAATTTGTTTTTTGTTTAAATAAAAGTGATTGATTTAAACTGTAGTTACTGAAGGTAGCTTTGGAGGCCTCAAGTAAAAATATGGCCAAGACATACTCTAGACCTCCTTTAATTCATGTGTAATCATTCTGCCCACTGACTTAAACTCCTTTACAGTCTCACTTTTGTGCGAGCCAGCTTTGCCTATTAATAAGCCTCAGATATTTCCCATAAACCACTGAAGTCCATGTATGGGGAATGAAGTGGTGTGGCATGGGTGTGTACTGGGGGAAAGGAGTGCTGGTTGAGGCTGAGGGAGAAATGGGAAAGATGCTAAAAGGTTCACAAAACAGCACAGCACACCAATGAGAGTCCTAACAGGTCTATAGCAACAATGTGCAATCATTTGTTATAATGCTCCTAGACAGCAACTCAGAATGATTACTTTGCAGGTTTCACTGTAGTGGTGAAGTACTGCAGGAAAAGCCTTAGAACAGAAGCAAAAATCACTTCTTAAATTGTGAGTAGTCATGATTTTGGAATTCTTAACATCACTTAACACCTGTGTGCTAAGTAGCCACTATGGGTTTCAGTAGTGAATCAGCGCACATACGATTAGAGACACCAAGTCTCTATTAATTGGGCCTCTGTGCAGTGCTATTATAGAAACGCACAGGGTACTAAGGGTACCTTACACAGGGTAAGGCAGATTTAATGGGAGGTTATTAGGCTGTAGTCTCAAGGCTCCAAAAACATCACCAGATGCAGTAAGTCAGTAGAGAGCCTGCAGAAGACAGAGAAAGAGAGTAAAAAAGAGATGGCATGGCTCATCACAAGAAGCATCATCAAGTGTCAAATGTTAGGGTTCATTTGTCCTGTTGACAACAGTTCAATACCACCAGTCTTTACGTTCATCCCTTCTCTACATAGCCCCTTTCTGCCTTAGAAGATCTTCGAGAATTTCATATAATATTTTGATCATATTGATTCCTTCTCCCCCTAACGTCTCCCATATATACTCCTCCCTTCCTATTATCCAACTCAGTGTCCACCCCCCTCCCCCTTTTCTTCTCTTTTTGAATAGCTCATTTTCTTTGGCAGTGACTCCTTATCTCCCAGGCATGGTGCTGCGGAGTAAATTTGTTTGAAGAGAGTGCCATCTACTGGTCAAACACAGTTCACTTCGGATGGAAATTCTCACGCATTCAGTGCCTTAAGCAAAGAAAACCCAAGAGCGTCTTTTTCTTTTCAGTTATTGAATGTACCTAAATGTTTATAGTTAATAATCCTAGCCCTTTCCTTACCCTATTTTTTGAGGAAGATTTTTTTTTCTGTTAGAACTGCTTGTTCCTCAGACTCTGTTGTAATTCTCTGAATAATGGGCAAGAAGAAAAATTCATGGACAATAAGAGAAGTGCAATAAAAAGGGAAAGGGAGAAAAAAAATCATGAAACGCTGTCTTCTCCTAGAGAGGTGGAAAATTATGGAGGGAAGGAAACTGAACTTCTACATTAGCCAGGAGTGTGTGGTAGATATAGGTCTAAATGACTTTAGGGGTTTGGAAACTAAAATTGTGTTTATTTTAGACACTATATTATCCTGGACCATTTAAGATGTCTTTAAGGCAACCTAGCTTATTTTGGGGCTGTTAAAATTCAGGAAACATACATCATTTGGCATCTCAAGGAGGACTCATGTACCCGGGAGAGGAGGTCACTTAAGAGACCTAAATGGAACTGAACAGAAAGAAGCCTTGACAAGGTCAGCATCCAGGATGGTAAACCGTGCCCTTGGTCAGACCCATAATAAATACATCTATCAGTGATCTTTGTTTACATTTAAAAATGAGTAGTGCTCAGTTACCCAGTGTATATATTCATCTGTCTATTATATATCCTCATAACCAAATGAACCAGCAAACACTGGGCTAGGTAGATGTGAAACTTCTCAGTGGGCTCAAGGAGGCAGCTAGCAGTGGATGGGCACAGTGTCTAGACTGTGCTGAAAAAGCCCCAGTATTTTCTTAAGGTAGGTTCACCTAGAGATGGGACAAATTCATATAAGCCAAGGGGAGTTAAAGACAGCAAGTCAGTTTTTTTCCCCCAAGCAACCTGACCACCTTTGCTGTGACATCCATTTAAACATTACAGGCGTTATCAAGTGCTCTACTGTCCCTGTAACAAATGACCACACAGTTGGTAGCTTAACGTGACACTCCCTTCTTTTTTATCTATGGTTCTGCATTTCACAAGTTCAAAATGAGTCTTACAGAGCTAAATTGAGATGTTGGCAGTTCTAGTTCCTTCTGGAGACTCCAGGGGAGAATCTGCTTCTTGCCAAGGCTGCCAATATTCCTTGGCTTGTTGTTCCATTACTCTAGGGCCCTCTCTTTACTTTGCTCCTCCTATCTCTTGCCTGTGATGCCTCTGGTCATACTAGGATAGAAGAGAACA